TGAGCAATGTTCTCTAAGGGGAGAGTATGTGAAGAGTATACAGTAGCTTTCTTTTTCTTTCTTTTTTGAGTTTATTTTTGGCTCACAGTTTCAGTGCATTCAGTCCACTGTTACCTACTTCCAAAACAGAAATGGCATGAAGGAAGGTTTGGAGGAGGAAAGCCACTCACACTATGGCAGCCAGAAAGCAGACAGCCAAAACTTTTTATACAATATTTTCAACTCTTCTGTAAATAGAAAACTATCTCAAAATTAATCATTGAACAAGGAAACTATGCAATAAAGGAATGGTATTCCTGTTGCTTATTCTCAAGCCTATCATTTCCTTTGAACAAACCTATTTTTAACAGTCCTTTCTTCTTTTTACTACTAATTCCAATATCCAAGTCTCCTGTTACTGACTATAAACTCCTTCTCCATAACCTTTATGAAATCAGGACCTGTATCTACTGTTTCTCACTATCATGTCCTAAACACATAGCACAAGTCTAGTACACTGCAGGGACTTTTTATGGGGTGAATGAAGAAATGAATGCCAGCTGAAGTATATTATATTCATTTCCTATTGCTACAGTAACAAATTACCATAAACTCAGTGGCAGTGAGGTGTGATAGCACACAAATGTAATTTCATTAATTATAAGGCTGAGACAAGAAAAAATTCAGGAGTTTGAGGCCAACCTGAGCTACACAGTGAGTGAACTACAGCCTGAACTACAGAGAAAGATCTTGTCCCCTCTCAAAAAATTTTTTAAACTCAGTGGCTTAATACAAACAAATGTATTATCTTCTAGCTGTGGAAAGCAGACATCCACAAAGAGTTTCATTAAACTAAAATGAAGGTGTCAGTAGGGCTATTTATTTAGGAAGCTCTCTAGGCAACAATCTATCTCTTTGCTTTTATTAGCTTTTAGAGACTGACTGCATTCCTTGGTTTACTGTCCCCATCCAGCAATAGCATTACTCCAACATTTGCTTCTATCCTTCTATGCTTTGATCTTTAATGTTCATTCTGCCACCCTCTTATAAGGACCATTGTAATTACACTAGGTCTACCCAGATAATTCAGGATGAACTTCTATTCTCCAGCACTTTAATCTCATTTAAGATTATTTATAAGGATTATACTCACAAGTTTGAGAGTTTAGGATATGGACTTCTTTGGAATGTCGTTATTCAATCTACTATCTTTGCCAATTTATTTTCTTAAAAAAAAATCTAGAGCTGGGTATGTAGCTTAGTGGAACAGTGCCTCCCTGGCAACTGTGAGATTGTGAGTTCCATTCCTGTTACTAAAAAAACCTAGCCAGGGAATACTTCAAAACTCACTCACTTAATGCCATTTTCCAAAACCAAATTGTCTCCTGCCACTCTTACCCTCAATAAGTATTTCCTACTCTTAACATCCACTGTTACTTAGAATTCATTTTTCAGTTTTGGAGAACACAAACTTGGCATATAAGACATCCTGCAGATTGGAAGATATAGTATTTCCCTTATATTATTTGGATTATTTGGAGGTCTTACATCATCCCTATGTCATTACCATCAAAGTTTGTTTTTAATAGTGAATTCTCAAAGTCAAATATCTCTCCTGGTTCTTTGCATCATCACACTTCAATGTTTTTCTAAACAAAATGGGTGTGGACTATTAAAAATTTGACAAGATTCAAATATGTACAAGAAGGGGAAATGCCATCAAGAGAAGACATTAAAACCTATTGTTGGGAAGCCAGGTATGGCAGCACATGCCTCTTATCCCAGGTATGAAGATCATGCCAGCTTGGGCCTGTCTCAAAAAAACAAGAATTGTTGGGCTGGGTGTATAGCATAAGTTTAGCATGAGAGAGGACCTAGGTTTAATCTCTAGCACCAAAAATAAATAAATAAATCCACCCTATATTTGACTGTGAATTTCAAATCCAAAAGCAAAAATAAAAACTAACAGAACTGTCTAATATTGGTGAAAATATCAAGCAAAAATATTCTGAATAAAAGGAATTCAAAATAAATTTTAATTTGAAATACAAAGGGTATTAAGCCATATCCAAAACTGATCAAATAAGTGCATTAACTCTATATATCAAATAAGTGCATTCCTTTCAGAACAGAAAATTGCAATTGCTATTCTGTTTTGGAGGGCATGGGGGGATTGCTATTGTTTTGCAATTCCAGGGATTGAACCTAGGACCTACAAACCTCTATTACTGACCTACATCCATAGCCTTTTTTTAAAAATTTAAGACAGGGTCTCACCAAGTTATCCTGGCTTGGTTCAAAGTTGTAATCCTATCTCATTCTCCTTAGTCACCAGCCTTACAAGTACCTATGCACCACCATGTCCTGCTCAACTGTTGCTCTATATATACATTAAAATGTACTTTATAAATAAATGCATTACATTTGTTCCACTCAAAAGATTCCAAAATCTTGTGTTGGTATTCTTCAAACAATTGAATGCAGATGTCTAGTGCTTAGGGTAAACAATTTGGGGATGACAAAGTGCAATGTATGTACCACTGTTGCCACCTGATGGACATGTTTTAAAATTTTTTTGTAGTTTTTTTCTTTTTCTTTTTATCCATGAAATAAAATGGATTTGGGGAGGAAAGATTCCCAAATCTGGCTATGTATCCAATCACCAGGAAACTTTTAAAGAATAAAATTTTAGAACCTATCTCTTAGAGATTCTAGTTTAAGATGTCTGAACTAGAAGATGAAAAAAAGCATATATGTATTAAGTTCATAGGAATTTGTATATATGAATACAAAGTTCACTTTACTTTATTAAGAGAATGTCTATTTTGATTCAGCTAGCTCTTGGGATTGGTCCCAGATTTCAGTGCTCTCCAATGTCTACTTAGTCAGCATGTAAATCGCCCTTAGGTGCTACAAAGAGATCCTGATTCAGTAGGTCCAAAATGGGGCCTGGAAATCTGCAATTCTAATAAGCTTCCAACTGACATACACACTCCTGGTTCAAGGATCATACTTTTAAGTAAATGTGCACTCTGGTGCACATCTGTAATCCCAGCACTCAGGAGGCTGAGGTAAGAAATTTGCCACAAATTCAAGGCCAGCCTGGGCTACATAGTGAGTTCAAGGCTAGCCTGGACTACATAGCAAGACTGTGGCTCCCAAAAAAAGACCTTAGATGACAGTTTAGTGTTTCCACAAGTGAATGATACCAGACATTCTCCTAGGCAATTTCTAACACTGGACTATTTCCCTTTAGATTTTATTTACTGTAAACCTCCTTTAGCATAGCTAGAGTACACAATTAACAAAATATTTCGTCTTATGTTTACCATACTACCAAGTGAATAGAAATTATTTCTTCCACATACAGAATATCACTGAACAGTAAATGAAGATGATATTTACATAATTTAGCTAAGGCAAGAGGATTATAAATTCAAACCCAATCTGAAAATTTTCAACTCAGTGAGACACTGTCTCAACAAAATAATGGAGAGTACGTAGGGATATAGCTTGGGGCAAAGGCCCTAGGTTCAATGGGTTCACTCCTAAGTACCGCAAAAAAAAGAAAGAAAGAAAGATACAAGGAAAAAAGAAAGATGACCAACTCTTATAAAATATATATATATATATATATATATATATATATATATATATATGAGAGAAAAACATAGATAGATGGGTAGACAGACACACTACAGTGTTTAAAATACTATACTTGACCTGGAGTCTAGCTCAATGGTAAAGTATTGGCCTAACATGTGTGAGACCCTGATTTCAATCCCCAGTTCTTCACAGGAAGAGAAGGAGAGGGAGGACCTAAATGGGTGATAGATATTGGGAAGTAGGAACAAAATGTTCAAATGGGAGGGGCACGAAGGAGGCAGGGAAGGAAAGGAAAAAGAAAAAAGACAGAATGGAAGGAAAAAAATGGAAACAAAGCTTTTGTAAATGGGGATGGGAGGAAGAGTTGAAGGGTGGAAAAAGGAATGGGAAAAGTAAGATATATTATGTACAGGTACAAATTGATTATGATGAAGGTGATCAATATGTATCAATATGTACGAATGGGATCAATATGTGCTAATAAAAAAGATAAAAAAAGAAAAATACTCAGGGGCTGGGGATTTAGCTCAGCGGCATAAGCACCTGCCTTGCAAGCAGGCAGTCGTGAGTTTGATCCCTGGTATCAATAAAAAAGAAAGACCAAAAAAAAAAAAAAGAAAGAAAGAAAAAAACTCATCAAATATCTAAATAATCATTCTCCCATTGCTTTTATTTCTTTTTTAAAATATATTTCAGCCAACTAATCTCAGTAGACTCTGGTAATTATTTCACATTAAGGTAAACTCAAAGGCATGGAGAGCATATATCAGTTATCAATTCTCAAAGAATCAACAAAAACTTTTCCTGTTCTAAATAACACCACACGATCTTCCCAAATTTTGTTGTAAGAGAGAAATGTTAAATCTCATATTGACTATATCCCAAAGTATTCTCAACATTTAGCATAAAAATCAACCAATGAGGCACTGATTTTTAAGTTTTCAAATGAGATATTTTGGCAAATTTTCTTTTCTATTATTTTCTTTCTTTTTTTTTTTTTTTTTGGTCCTGGGGATTGAACTCCCTGTCTCACACTTGCCAGGGAGGTGCTTATGCCACTGAGCTAAACCCTTGGCTGCTTTGGCAATTTTCTAACAAGTTAAGAGAATTTTCCACAAGAAAGTCACCATGGGTTTAGTACTTTTAAAACACAGGAAAGGGGTTAGGGACATAGTTTGGTGCTTGGGCAAAGCCCTAGTGGATCCCCAGCACTGCTAAAAACAAAAACAAAAGCACGTAAAGGAAAACTACAGAAGAAAAGTAGTTTGCTGTGAGCTACTAAGGGAATCTAGGAAAGGAAGTAGAGGATAAACTCCTTATTTTTAAAAAGTCATTAACACATTTTAATCCTGGATCACTCAGAAAGCCAGGTCAGCTAAAATTAAGATTTATTAAAACCAAGATTATATACCCACCTGCAGTTCACACCAAGCAACCTCAACCCATGTTTCAGTGTCCAGTCCTTTATATACTGTTTTAAATGCTCCTCTTCCCAGTTCTATGTCAAATTTCAGGAACCTGCCACTAGGAGAAGTTGCTACTGCTTTCATTTCTGCTTCTTCTTCTATTTCCTTTTCATTTTTTTCCTTGAAGCAATCTTTTGAGGTTTCCAAAGTTGCCTTTGAACACTGCTCATATTTACCTTCTTGTCCACCTCTCAACACATTTGTAGAAAGTTTATCTACTCTTGGAATATTTGCTGCAGGCTTCACTCTCTCATCCTTGGAAGAAGACTCGGCAACTTTGTCATCTTCTGTCATCTCAATACTCTTTCGGAAAAATCTCTTCCTTTCTATTGCTTCCCCAGAAGCAGTGAAGGTGCCACTTTTTCCCTTTAATCTAGTGTCTATTGTCAAAGTAGAAGCAATCTGGGGAACTCTATTTTCAAATGAAACTCCATCAGGTTTCTCAGAATCTTCAGTGCTAGCTGGCTCCCCTGAATCGGTGGCCATTGTTATTAAGGTTGGCACTAAAATTTTTCCTGTTCCACTCCTCAGTCCAATTACATCTCAGGTATCAGAATTATCAGAACAGACTTCTGTTTATGTGGTCATATATTCCCATAGCAACCTAAAAGGGGAAAAAGGATATTTAAAATTTACCCCACAAAGGAAATCATTAAGGAGAAAACAAATCACCTGATTTTTAATCCCTTTTTTCTTAATTAAGTTTAATCTTTTTTTCTGTCCAATCTTAGCAACCAGTAGACTCCAGGGACTGTGTCTTATCTTGTTTACCACTGTAGCCTACAGTGTACAGCAGACTAATCCATAGCACAAGAATATATCCTCATGTTATATGAATACTGGTTAAGTTTTGTAAGTGACTACACTCTTAAGTTCACTTGAATAGCAGCTAATATACATAAGTAAAACAACTATGTGATTTTTAGATAGTTTTGGTCTAAGATTCAGAACTCACCGAATATAAGTATCATTTTATTGTGGTAATATATGTATAACATTATTAGGCAGGAATGGCAGCACACAGGAGGCTGAAGTAGGAGGACTATGAATTTGAAACTAACCTGGGGGGGCAGGGATCAACCATATAGAAAGACCCTGTCTCAAAAAAAACCCAAAAAACAAAAATAAGGGTGTGTGTACCTGAGTATGTTACCATTTTAACCATTTTTAACTATAAAACTCAGGGTAATTAATATTCAGTGTTGTGCAATCATCACTTCTATCCATTCCTAGAACTTATTCATTATTCCAAACTAAAACTATGCACTCATTAAAGAAAAATTCCCCATTTAGTCTGTAGACCCAGATGCCTGAGGAGCTAAAATAACAGGAACACTTATGTCCAGTGATTCAAGACCAGGCTGAATAATACAATGAAATTTTGTCCTGAAAATAAAGAAAAGCACTTCTAAGGGGTTAAATATGTAGCTCAGGGGCACAACATATGCTTGGCACACATGAGATACGGTATTCAATGCCCAGCACCACAAAAGAGTTCTCTATCCACACCTACCCATGGAATCCTCTATTCTATTATCATTCTGAATTTGCTTAATTCTTGGCAATTCATACAAATGGAAGCACACAATTTGGCACAGTGTTTTCAACATTCATGTTTGCTGTAGCATGTTATAAGGATTTCATTCCTTTTTAAAGTTTGACAATATTTCATGGTATTATATACATTTAATTTATCTATTCATTAGTCAATGGAGTGGGTGGTTTCCACATTTTCACTATTGTCAATAATGCTGCTATGAACATTCAATAGCAGTCTTAAGTAATGCAAATACTTGTTTATGAGCTACCCTTCATATTTTTAAGAGAAACAACTATCAAATATTAATATACTATACTAAATAGCAAGAAAAGGCCAGATATAGTTGTGCCTGCCTATAATCCTAGAACTTAAGAAGTGATTGCAAGAGGATTCTAAATATAAGGATAGCATGGGAAACTTAGTGAGACTCTGTTATTAAAATAAAGTTTAAGACACTAGGCATGGTGGTACAGGCCTATAATCCCAGCACTAGGGAGGCTGAGGCAGGAAGATTGCTGGGAGTTCGATGCCAGCCTGGGCTACATAAATGAATTCAATGCCAGACCGCACTATATAGTGAGACTGTGTCTCAAAATGTTTCCCCCCAAAATAATCATAACAACAATTTTCAAAATTAAATTTAAACAAAGGACTGAGAATTTAGCTCCATTTTAGAGTGCTTGCCTACCATACACCAGATCTTAATTTCAATCTCAAGTACTAACAAAAACAAAACATCAAGAATTTGTGCTAAAGTTTAAGAAAAAGATGTCCACTTTCGGTAGGGATGTAGCTCAGTGGCATAGCACCTGCCTAGGAAGTGCTAGGCTGAGTTTGCTTCCCAGTCCCCCCCACACCCAAAAAATTCATTTTAACACTTAAAATTCAGGAAAAAAATGTAACTAGACATTAAGTCTAATATGGGCTTTAGTAAATGTCTCAGAGTATGATACAGCATTACAATAACTCTAAAGGTCTATCTCCCTGTGGCGGGCTTGCATTAGAGTCTTTGAGTATGTATTTTTAAAATGCTGCCTAGTGAATCTCTTTATGTCTCTTACTTAGGCATCCTGAAAATTCTTTTTCTGTGACAGAGTTCAGTGAACCTAAAACATACCCCACAGGTCAATTCCCCAACTTCACTTTGGGAACTTCTTTGGACCTTTTCTAGTGAGATTTCTTTTGGCAAGTCAATGGAAGGAGACAAATGAGGCATTAAGACTGTGACTTTGGAATATACTTTCTAAAAGACAACTTCAACAGTATGTTAAGATGGTAGGCCATCAAATATAGAACAGATGAAATAAGGCACTTGATTCCTAACACTAACGCTGACCATATCTAATGAAAGAGGTAACTTCTTAGGTCCTACCTTACACATTTCAAAGTGCCCTGATATTCAGATAGGATAGTAATAGTTAGGGTTAAGAACTATTGCTCCCATTTCAAAACTGACCTTCTGGGTGTTCAACAAGTAAGGTGTGGAGACCAAGAAGAAGATAAAAGAAGAAAATAAAAGACCTAAGCCAATATTTGGGCCCTTGTCTTCCAAGCTCCACCAGAACCGAGGCCATGACAAGAGCCATCTGAAAGACCACCACAACTATGGTGAGTCACCTCAGTTCCTAAATAGCGTACTGTTTAGACCCTACAGGATAGGACTCAACCAAAGTATATTATGCAAAAGGAGGGTCACTAAAGAGGGAAATGTCTTCCATGCTTCCAAGGGATGCTATATGGTTAGGCAAGAGTCTGACCCATCCTGTCAGATGAAACAATTGGTAGAGGAAAAAGCTAAAGGAGCTAAGAGGCTGCTCACATGGCTCCAAAAAAGTAACTCCTGTGGAGCCTTAACTATCTTGACAAATATACATACATTAAATTTTGTTTTATGATCTTACTTTGACTTGATCTTAAACACCCAGCAGGAAAGTCTGACTAAAAAGGGAGTAATTAATAGCAATGTTTTTAAAAAGAAAGACAGGCTAAATATAAAAAGGAGCTCCAAAGCCAGGTGTTGGGGTGTATGCCTGTAATCTCAGTGCTCAGGAGGCTGAGATAGGAGAACCATCACAAGTTCAAAGCCAGCCTGGGCTACAACAGTGAGTTCAAGGCAGAGACTCTATCTCAAAGAAACAAAATGGGGGTGGCAGTGGGGCTCAAAACATTACACTATTCTCTATTGACAGTTTGTAGCTATATCTATAACATCTCAATCTATAGCCGTAAAAGGTCATGATTCCTAGTCCCACTAGCCAGTCCAAAAATGTGTCCTTCAGCCCTTCTTAGTGTATTCACATTATGTTATTTTGATGTATATTAAAGTATCTCTCACATAAAAATTTGGTTTCTTATATAGGTCTGCCTAAGGATAAAAATGTCAATATAAATAGTCTAGCTACAAAACGTTATCACTTTTTTGATGTAAACCAATATTTTTCATTTTTTTATTTTTGGGTACTGGGAATCAAACTCAGAACCTTGTGCTTGCCAGAAAGGCACTTACACCTCTGAGCTATATGCCCAGCACAGTATAAACTAATTTTATGTTACCTAATTTAGGCCTTTTACGTTTATGTTATTTACAGCCAGTCATTAGGAAAATCTTTGGATCTTCAAAGTAGAGGCCAAACTGTAGGTTCTCAACCCTACCATAAAATTTTAATGGCTAAATATTAATGTAAAAACATAAATATCTTTTTGTAGCTTATTCCTTGTCTATTACTGTGAGTGAAATAAAAATTAGCCAGGTGTGGTGGCACATAGCTATAATCCTAGCACTTGGGAAGCTGAGGCAGGAAGATAGCTACAAGTTCAAGGCCAGCCTGGGCTACATAGTTCAAAGTAAGCCTACAGGCCAGGCATGGTAGTGCCTGCCTGTAATCTCAGCACTTGAAAGGCTAAGGCAGGAGAGCTGTGAGTTCTAGGCCAAACATGGTGAGTTTAAGGCCAGCCTAAACTACATAGTGAGACCCTGTCTCAAAAAAAAAAAAAAAAAACCAAAAATGATCAGTCTACAGAGTGAGATCTTGAGAGAGAGAGAAAGAGATCTAGATTTCTCACTAACAGAATAGGGCGGATTCTATAATACTCTTATACTTCATCTGCTGTCCTTCAGTAAACATCTCAAGACAAACAGAGGGGAGGGAGGAGAAAGGAGAAATGAAAAAAGTAAATGTGTCATGTGCACGTAACAATTCCATACAATGAATGTGATCATTATGAACTGCAAACACGTACTAATAAATTTTTTTTTAAAAAAACAGGCTAATATAAAAGCTAATTCACCATTATTCTACTTTTAAATTTGGGGCTTTGCTTGTTTAACATACTGGCAACATTTGTATCTTCCAGACTTCTACAGTTCCTACTCAAAAGCTGATGCTCAACACCTGTGATATTACTAAAACTGTTGAGTTTATATTCCCAACAACTCTAGAAACTGTATTCTGCTATAGAAAACATAATTCACAAATCACATATCTGATACTCCCTTAATCTTAACCACAAATTGATAACAAAATATGTGTCCTTTCAATCAATCAGATTAAGAATTTTGATCTCTAGCTGGACATGGTGGCACATATTCGTATCCCAGCACTCAGGAGGCTAAGGCAGGAAGATCGGAGTTCCAGACCAGCCTAGGTTAAAAGTGAGTTCAAGGCCAGCCTGAACTCTAAACTGTATAGCAAGACTCTATCTCAAAAAAAAGGAAGTTCAATCTCTGGCAGGATGAATGATCCCCTAAATTTGAAGCAGCAATAAAATGGATAAGTACCTCTTCATCCCTTAAGAATAAGGGATCACTAGGTATCTTCCCAAAAGAATTAAATATATCCTATTACAGTGATACATGCATTCCTACATTTATAGGAGCATAAATCATAATACTTTAATCTTGGAAACAGCTCATATGTCTACCACCTGATAAATGGATAAATAAAATGTGGCATTTTTACACAAGGAAGTACTACACTGCCATAAAGAAAAAATCTGAGTCATTCATACAAAAATGGACACACTTCGAGACCACAATGTTAAGTGAAATAAATCAGACACACAAG